TTTTTTGTAATCTTGCCAGTTCATATTAATAATTATATTTACTTGCTTCGTCACCTTACTATCGGCAGTTTTTCCCCGTTTGGTTTTTTATAAATTCCAAAATTTTTTTTGCATTGGCAAAAGGGCTTGCTTGGCTAGTGTCAATTACTAAATCATATTTTCAAATTTTACTTAATTCTTCCATTTTAGTAAATTGACCTCGGGCTAAGCCCCGTGCTCGATCCCTGCGAAGCATTTCTCTTTCTTCCATTAGAGACAAATCACAATTTACTTTTATGAAACAAACTTGATGATTTTTCAGGACTGAAGCGTAATTTGCTAAGTCCTTTTTATCTCAAATTACTTCGTCAAGGATGAGGTTATGTCCATCGTCGACTAAACATTTAGCAACTTTTTTGATTGAATGGCCAACTTTTTTGCCATAATCACCACTTTCCACTCTCATAATTGAAAATCCTTTTTCATCAGTTCCCGTAACAAAATTAATTCCTTCATGGGCTTTTTTTCCACCTGGTAAATATTTAGCAGGCATAGTCGCAAAAGAGACATCAACTCCCATAGTTAACCATGGTTCTTCGCTTAAATGCTGAATGGCTTTGACGATTGAAGTTTTTCCGGCTGATGAGGGCCCATTTAAAAGAATAATTTTACTTTTTAATTCCATTATTATAATTCTTTACTTTTTTAATCATGCTTATTTGTTTAGCAAGAAACGCTTTTCGTTAAGACTTGGCATTGGTAAATTTTCTTTTATAATTTATTATACAGTTTTTTATTTTGGCTTGGTTTTTGGTTTAATAGCGTCGCATCCCCTTTTTTCTTGTAAAGGCCTTATATAGCTTAACGCTGCGGGAAAAATTGCGAAAAATGAGGTTTCGTTGCACTGGGTTTAAGGCTGATATTTGCCTTTGTGGCAAAGCAAGCACTTAATAAAGATAATCACACTGTCACGCTTGCGTAAGTGTCCGCATTTATTACAATGATAAAACTCTGTCTGGCTAATTTTAGCTAACTCCCGCCGAAATTTTTCTAATATAATATAGAAAAGTGTAAAATGTGAGTGTGAAGCGTATAGTATATAATAAACAAGTTCACACCAAGAAAATAAATAACTATGCCAATACCATACAGCAAAAGAAAAGAATATTATCGTAAGAGGTGATTAGCAAAAAAGCAAAGTGTAAACAATAGCAACAATTCACACCCAATATCACAGCAACAAGAGAAAGAGTTCACACCTCAAAACTTCACATCAAAAACTACACTAAAAGAATGAACTGAAAGCGAATTAAAAATGGCAATGACATACAATTCTACACTAAATAGAGAGGTGGACCACTTTTTAATTATTTTTAGCCTAAAAAACTTTCCAAACCCTTTATTTATGGGACAAAGATGCCGGACCATTTAATTGGTGTAAAGTTATATATCATTGCCTTAAAAATTAACCAAATTCTCACTAGATTAGAGCAGCAAGAATTAGCCAACAAACTATTTCGTTATGAAATACAAAAATGAGCCAAAACCATCAATGAAGCGATTAAGAATATTAGCGAAATTAAGCAAACATTATTGTAAGGAAACAAAAAGCATATAACCCAATAACCAATCTTAATAACTCGTATAACACCTGCTATTTTTTTTAAGCCAATCTTCCCACTGTATTTCCAACTTTATATATAGCAACTGATATATACATAAATATAAATAATGTAATACTAATAAACACTAATAGAAGTAATATTATGCCAGAAACCAACCTAACTAGCAAGGAGCAACATTCCCAACCCCTCGATGAACTATCCCAGGCACAACTTAAACAATTAATCGAAAAAATCCAAGACTGGTTTCACCAGTTAACAATTGTTGACCAAGAACTCCAATCCGGACCGCTAACGACAACTATGCCGACGGAGAATTGCGAACAAGAAGAAATCGAAAAAGCCGTTATAATGATTGAGCAAATACGGGAGAAGTTGGCTAGCCAAAAAAAAGAAAGTGAAAACCATTGAAAAGTCTTGTTACCCGTAGCCCGAGTTAAAATCCACCACTTAGAAAACAGAAATCCAGCACTAACTTTCCCATTTTCCACCACAGAAACTTCCCACCAAGGTACTTCGGGAGAGCAAAAAACTAAAACTCGTCCTAGCCCGCTGGATTTAACCAAAAGCCAAGAAGAATTAGAAGGAAAGGGTATACTTCCTCGACCAACCACCCCCCTTAGTGCGATTGCGTTTGCTTCCCCTCGCCGCTCCTCCCGAAAGCGTAGTATTAGTGTTGATGCCAAAGAGCACTATTCTAACCCCCCACTTCTTACCGTTGTTGCGTCCAATGAAAAAAGCAGCTCTTCTGAGGAAAGAAAAAATGAACTCCTAGAAAAAATAAGAAACAACGTTATCGAAGACCAAAAGCGGTGAATGGACCGCTTGGGAAAAGAGATTGAAAATTTAAGAATTGAAAAACAAAACTTAGAAGAGAATTTATCTAATAAAGAAAAGCAAGTAGCAGCCGAAAGACGAAAAAACACCCAACTAACTAGTGAATGTGATGATTATAAACAAAAACTAGCCGATTTAGAAGGTAGCCGCATCCAGCTCGAAGCCGAAAATAAAGTTTACAAACGATCCTCGAAGGATTTAAGAGAAAGTAATAATAAGGAAAAAAAAA